AAAATCATACTAATGTTATAAATGCGAAAGTTTAGATGGATGGATGTTTATTAGAGTTTGTAGCCTAAACTGTTGAAAGGATTTCGATGAAATTTGGCATAGATATGGAAGATACTCTGGAAGAACACATAGGCTACTCATATTTGTTTTTTTTTTAATCAGACGCCGGCGGAATCGCGGGAGAGAGCTTGTTAAAAATTATCGTTCAGCTTTGTACAATCCACAGACATTTTTTACCCTTTCATTTTAAATGTTTCTCAGTCCTTTAGAGCATTTGCTTCATCTCTAAGCCGGCGGCCGCAGACAGCTTCGAATTAATGACCCGATCCCCACAGTCTTAATGAATAAATAGCAAACACTAAGAACTTCTTTGAATATTTTCCAGATTCTACAAAACACTGCTTTTAGTTGCAGCGGAAAGGCATCCGTATAATTATTATTTATTTATTTAACAGATGCCTTTGAGTTTTATGTTAACTAATATTGTAAATGGACAAAGGATGAGCTTGTAAAAGCAGAATTGTGTTTTACTGCATACAAGCTTTTATCCGCGACTCCGTCCGCGCGTAATTAAAAGAAAACTAAATTTCCATCCAAATATTTAGAATCGTTCTAACAAATCATCCTTCAAATATTTTTCATAATAGTAAGATGTAAAATAATGTTTTAGATCTGATTAGAAAGAGGTTATGTTTGAGGTATAGAACTATAGTTAAAGGCATATTTAGTACCCTTGAGCCAGTCGTATGAAAACCAGGCAACGTAATAAAGCCAACTTGCATAACTTACGCAAGAAATCGTATCTTGTCTTCATTCCGACGTCGAGTACAGAGCAAACAGCCAGCCGCCCACTCCAGCTGCGCGCGGATGAATGAACTTTTTTCATTCCGCAACTCTTGGTGTTACCAGTTGCCACTTGAATTACTTTTTTTTTCGGCCGAGAACCACTGAAATATGCTGCGGTACACCGAAGAGTCCTTTATCCTTTCCAATGCAATCCAGACAAGCTGTCAGGATTCTACAAAAGGATATTCGTAACTTTAATTAGTTTTAACACTGCTTTCCTATTTATACAAATATCATAAAGAGGAAAGATTTGAATTTAGGACATATTATTTTTAAATTCCACGTGGACAAAGTCGCGAGCAACAGCTAGTCTTAAATATTGTAAATGGCTCGAAATTTTGCAATGATTGGCAGTTTTTCGGTAGAGGCTGACCACAGATAACGTAACAAATAGAGTGTAAAATATACAAGTATGTCCATTAATGTATTGCGAAGTTAACGTGTAAATAAGTAAAGCGAATTACGACTACGTTGTCACAATCTCGCTAAACGATCTCTTTTTCGCTGCACTTAAGTTATTTGTTCAGTTTGCGACTGTGATCCCGATTTATAGCGCAGGGACAACAGGGAACAAAGCGCAGGTTTCCCAGTCCGCACAAGGACTGGAAACTTTGCGAGCGCAAAGGATTTTTCACAGAATATATGTTTGTTGGGGAAACAGCGCTAGTGTTGCATCAAGGATACGGCTGCCTCATTTATTCTTTACCATAGAGTTTAGAATGTTTTAGATATAATCTGTTTTTTTATTTTGTTTGTTGAAGACGGAACAATCATTGTGATAATTTACGTAAGTAATGCCAACGGTCATTACATTTCTACGGTAAAAATGGTTTTTTTTTTAAGGAATTCTTCGCTGTGCACACGTCAAATACAGAGCAATTTGACAAGAACACGTTCCGAAATATTTTTTTGTCATGTCTATAAAATGTATAAGTCTGTGTAACAAATAAACGAAATGTTTGTGAGTAGGAAAGTTGCGAAACGTGCTCTACTGGCCATATGTCGCGCGTCAACCTTCACTGAAGCACCCTCACCCAGCATCTTCTAGAATGTTATATTAATGTAACAATTATTTTCCTTATAATGACCCCTGAATAATTTATGAATCTTCTCCAAGTACTCTGTTTTCATCATTTTTTTTCAGAAAAATGTCTGTTTAAATTTATTTAGAGCATCAATTTTTTTAAATAAATTCCTGCAACCATGGTACCTGATTAAAGCATTGAAAATGTTACAAATTATGTTTTGATGATATTAAAAAAGTAATTGCTTCACAATAAAGACGGTATACTAACTTACTCCGTTGGCGCAGGGACCCAAATTGGGTCTTGGCCATCGACACAAAAGGCCAAAAAAACGTAATCTAAGAGCGGGGGCACACCTATGACTAAGATATCGCACTGTTTAGCTGCGCCTTGATTCCTATGAGTTTTTATGGAGGCGAGCACACTGCTATCTTTTGCTGTGCAACTAAATAGTTGGCTGTGAAACAATCGACAATCAAACTACAGTTGTGCGATAGTGCACTCCAATAGTGTTTGTTAACATGCACTGTTAATAATAACGAAGTAACGGCTCGTGCCGAGGCTCCTGAGGGAGCCCTCGAGCTTAGTTACTCATAAACGAGGTTTAGGCTAAGCGCCATCTGCGCTTGGCCACCTCAAGCCCGGTGAATCTGTAAATGCTTCTTCTAGGCAAACAGTAGCCATTCAGTCACAAAAAAAAAAAATTCCACATATCAGGCAATACAAGGTGGCCGGGGCATTCTCAGAACTTTTAAACAAATGAACGTGTAGATTGTCTTTGTCCCGGTGAACGTGAGTTGCCAACTTTGCAACAACAATTATTCTGATAACTTCAGTTACACCGCTCTCGTTGAGTTAAAGTCTTGGGAAGGGTTTTTAGTAATTAACATGCAAAACGTAATAGATACATATTTTTATGACAAAAGTTTCATATCTAAGAAGGACATTGACTTCATTTACATCTAAAATTATTATGTCCCTTCTTTTATAAATTTATTGCTTTATTAATATGTCTTAACGAAATATGATAAATACTAAATTTATACCCAGCGTCAAAAGAAACCCTTGAAAAGTGTTTTCTCGGACATTAGAAATTTTCCGTGTATATATACAGTGAGAATTTCTCACAGCCAACCAATCTCATGCGTCGGAGGCGAGAGGAGAAAATATCTACGATAGCTTGCTGCTGCCACAATTTAGCGGCTGAAGCGGACGTTTGTCCCATAAAGAGAAAGTTCTCGATTGTTTGTCTCAAGTTGATTCCATAACCACTAATACAATTTAGATAAACAGAAAGCTTAGTGAAAAATTACGATTGGTTATATTTTAATTTCCCTATTTTAATTTAGCTAGAACATTTCAATGAAAGTTAAAACTTTATTACGCTGTTCCTTAATGTTACTACAAAGGAAAAGATAGAATTCCTTGAAAGGGAAAGATAAATCATTCAAAGTAAAAGGTAAGTAAAATATCAATTTTATTTTAAAAAAAAACTGAGTTTTATAAATCGCTTATCTCTTGTAAATTGTACCGCAACCGGTATTCAGATCACGCGCGCGATAATACCAGAAAATATTCCGGTCACAACGCGAGCCCTGAACAGGGCATTGGAAGGGCTGTGACCACCTCCACTCGAACCGCTAAGAACCCTAGAGCTCTGAAGAACCCCACTTAAGAGCTGTATCAAGTGGAATAACTACAATCACTCTTTTTAACTACTCCAAATGAGATTGTACGTATTACTTTAAGCTTTTAAAATTATGATTACAAATACTAACCTCACCTAACATTAAAAAATATAAAGTCTGTAGTAGTTGCACTTTCAATGTAATAGAAGACTACTGCAGAGAAAGTGGTCAAGTCAAGTCAATGTAGTCATACATTAGATTTTTTAAAAATCGAAACGTAATTCTTACTTGCTTCGAAAATTCGTTCATTCGACTTGCATCGTCCTATTTGCGATGAATAAAAAACGGCGATAAATCCTCGAGATTCATCGCGTTCGAGTTGGGAACATCTCAGAGCGTAGCTAAGCCCGGCTTAAAACAAAGCCAGGTATTTAAAACTGATGTTAAGTCGATTCCGAATCGTGGTGAAAGCTCCGCTTTATTTACAATATGCATTTCCTCTTAGACGAGAGCACATTAACAATTCAACTCGACGAAATACTTTGTTGTCGAAGTACTTATCTTTTGCAAAACATAACCAGCACTTCTGCATCATTCTGAAGGTGAAATGAGATTTAAAATTTGCTACAATAAAACCAAGATTGTTTAGAAATTTAAACATAGTCATGAAAGCGCATCTAATTTTAATATTTCGATCTACCGTCCTTTTTTAGAAAATAAAGGCATGAACCTAATCCACTCTATGCTTAGCTTTCAGCCGGTATTTCGGTCGTATTCTTTGCCGTCCGGTCAAAAGAATAGATGAATATTAAACTTCCAAATTTTTCATTTGGCTTGCTTAGCGTCTCTCAGCGCCGGCTAAGCTCGGCGAGGATATTAAAAATTGGTATTAGACGCTTTCAAGGCTGCTACAAAACAAATTACATACTAAATTATTTTAAATATTAATAAATTAAAATAAATAATTTTCTTTATTTATTTATTTTTTATTTTATAAAATCACATACGTCCCTAATCTATTGTCTGTTCACAACCTTGTACAGATGAGTTCATTTTAAGAATTTTTACCTTATCTCAGTCTGTTTTAAATTTATTTATTTTACTTCTAGTTATAATGGTTAAAAGTTTCTAATTTATTTTAATTACATTTGTTTACACTAGGGTGAGTACTGTTATCTCATTTAAGCCTCTACCGACTACTTTACAGTTAGTTATTTTACAATAATCTGTTTTCTTTGTGTTCATGAAACTAACCAGGTAGCCATGTTGACGCTCAATTTGTAGGTATGTTTTGTTATCCCGGATGTATACAAGCGTGTCTCTGAATTTCGAGCATAATACACGAGCCGAGGCTGCATTTGATTTTTGTTAAAAGCCCTTCGCCAGGCTAAAAGCGTGCAGTGCTGCGGTCACCTACTAACTAGGAATTGTGTTTAGGCTAAAATTCCACATTTCATTAGTACTTAGAAAACGTTAATGATGTTCATTAAGTAAACCATAAAAGAGTATCATTATTTTATTTATCTAAAACGTTAACATATCTTAATTTGTATACTTATCTTTTATTTACACTTATTGTTAAAAACACTTAAAAGAAATTACTCGTAAATGGCAAGATTTCTTTCTATTAGTTAATCGTCTTCTATATCTGATTTAACATTACATATATCAAAACGGAGCATTGAATCAGAGTCTCTGTTGCTTGCATTATCTACGGGCATGTCCTGAGCAGAAAGTGGAGATAATGGGTTATTTCGACTATTAATCTGTTCCATGTTTGAACTCTGTTGAAATGTATTGAATGTTCGTGTTTCGATGACAGTTGCATTGTTAATCCTTAAATGTTTAGGAGTTGAAAACTTACGGAGTACATTTAAAATTTCTATCTTCGCTGACAGTCTATCTTCGTCATCCAGTTTTGACAGTGAAGGTACCAGTGATCTGCAAAAATCTCTTACTTCATTTTCGTCTGTCCATGAATTACTCGGTTTTGGTTCAGTTACATTCACTGTTGGTTCTGGCGTCTGGGGAATTTTATTTGGTATGCTTCTTACAACTTTGTATTTAGGAGAATTACTAGGACTGCGTCTCTTGGTCCTGGTTAATGGTGTTACAATTTCTTCTATATCATCATCATCATCATCCTTCGTTATCGGAGTTTTTAATTTAGAAATACTGTCGGTTTCTTGACACAGTGGTATTAAAAATGCTAATTGTTTATAATATCTATATTTCCTCTTTTTCTTGCCACCGGGGTTGGGTTTATATTTATTAGTTATTTCACGTCTAATGTTATCTCTCATATTCTTCCATTTACTTTGTACCAGTCTGGCTAAAAAAAAAATGTAACCAAGTAAACACAAAAGTACATTAAAAAACTGACATATAAATACGGCACCGTTGCCACGAGTTTCAAATCATACAACGGATCTGTAGGCTTAAATTCAACTCTATTGACTTTCACAGCGACTGAGCGAGGTTGCGAGTTATGACGTTTTTAGATGCGTTGTCTCACTCACACCAACGAATACAGCGGCGACGCGGCGCTGCGCGGCGCGGCGTTACAACACAACGCACGGCCGCTCCCAGGTTATTAAACAATTTAAGTGAAATAGCGGTAAATAAACGGCTTATGCAGATATTCTATTGAAGTTTTTTGTATTTATAAATTCTATTTACAACTAAACAACTCACCTCTTAATTCTTTATCTCTTTTGGTGAGGTCGTCCCAATTTTCGATAATCTCCGAAGCCACTTGCATCCAGTTGGCATACTTCGCTGCTCTATCATTATATTTCTCATCAGCTTTATCATATAGCAATCGTCGTTTTTTAACCGCGGCAATGAGCTCTTCTGGATCGAAATCCATTTTGCGCTTCATGTATTCACCAACGCTCGATATCTGACGCTTGTTCGAGCGAGACTGACGTGGGCCGCGGCGCGGTTGCCGCACCGTGCGATGAATAAACGCTTGAGAGAATGAGAAGAATGTATCGGGATAGAGCGCGACAGAACAACGCCGCGCAAAAACACATTTCCGTGAGATGCGAATGGCCGTTCGGAAACCACACCGCGCGGTCTTTTTACGTTACATCAATGTGATTATTTGTGATGATCTTTCGTTTATGTGGAGCGCATGACTATTATGGTCATTTACATATTTTACAGATATAGAAAATATATGCGATGAAAAATAAATGTTATGTAATCTATTATAGTTAATAAAATTGGAGTACCTGTATGTAATCATAAAAAATTAACGGGATTCTACTGGAGGATAGCTGACATGGAAGGGAAAGGGCTACTTTTTTGTCTTTTTTTTTAATACCAACCGCTACCTCCGAAATTGCTAGGTCGCTTTAGAAGAGTTCGACTCGAAAGGTAGTTGCGCGGGAATATTTAGATAATTTATTTTATATAGAATTTCTCACTAACGAAGTTTGCGGATAACCCGTAAAATAAACATAAACTCCGAATTAAAGCATAGCTGCTTGGACAGCGCCCTGAAGGGTGGTGATTTTTGCTAAAAGCTTTCATGTTCCCTAAAAGCCTCAGCCTCACTGTGACCGCAGCTAACAGGCAAAGGCAGCTCAGTCTAAAAACCTCAGTCATTTCATGTAAGCAAGGAGCCTTTGCTTACTATCTGTTCGGTTTATCGTCTTATTACTAATAACTAATCTATACTTCTATACTAATATAAAGAGGAAAGATTTGTATTTTTGTATGTATTCGATTCTCTTAAAAACCACTTGGACGATTCTAAAAATTCTTTCGCCAGAAAGGTAATTTAAACTTTATTATTACTTTGTTTAGGAACTATTAATAAACAGCGTATTTTAACTTAAACTAAAAAACTAAAAAACCACTGTATATTAACTTTTCTCGGCTTACGCTGCTTAAACCGTTAAAGGTATATAAAAATGATGTATGAAAGAATTGTAGATCTCAAAAAGTTCTACAGAAAAGTCCGCGATGGCAAATATCTATCTTTAACGGTTTTCTTACAATAACCACTCTTTTGTTTATATATTAAATTAAAAATACATGGTATTTGCGGCGTCGTTTTATTACCATTATAATAACCATTATCCAAATAAATATGTTTCTTGTCAGGAGAATTTAATGTAGAATAAAATTGTCCTATACAGTATTTAAATTGGACAAATAGTTTAGAAGATATCGCGAACGCAAACAATAAAAGTAACCGAAAAATCGGCTCACAAACTACCGGGCTTAGAAAGGTATTTGATATTTTGCTAGGCTTTTGCTGTCTGCAGCACTTATACGAATACATCTAGAATCAATACGCTCCATCTGACATGTTTGAGTTTCGAGCAAGCCGCCTCAGATCTATATTAAAATTTGCATCTGCATTGCAAACTACAGTTTAATATATTCTGAAATCTAGTTAGCTAAAATGAATTTATATTTATTAAACGTAAATCAAAATGGAAATATTGAAATCAAATACATACGAAGTTTTTTAATACTCTTGCTATAAGAGTACTAAACTCTGTCCACGTGGAATTAAAAAGAAATACAAGTAGGCTAAATCACTATAACTACATAGTATATAACAAAGTCTCATCCCGCTGTCTGTCTGTTTTTATGTATGCTTAGATCTTTAAAATAATGCAACGGATTTAGCTATAGTTTTTTTAATATATTTAAGAGGAATGTTTATGTTTATTATAGTAGAAACTTACTGATAATTTTAGATGTTTATAGGTTAACATAAATAAACAAATTTATGTATCACCATTGGAGGCATGCGAAGCAGGGGTGGGTCACTAGTCTTTATATAAAAAAATCCATAAAATACAATTTAAATAGGTCATTCACGATGCAGTGATTGTCAACATTTACAATAGTGAATTCGTGATGTACGAAACGAAATCCATTTAGCAAGTGAGGTGCACAAATGCATAGCACATAATTGTACCCCGCACTATAATCACACGTCCGCTGTTACCGTAACCCATTTGCACCGTTCCATAAATCATACTTCGTCTAAAACGTACCACGGATACTAGGAACTTCAGACATAATGCCTTACTATATTATTTAGTTGAATTAATACAACACGTTTGAACATTTAACTTGTAATATAGGTCCTGGGGTTGAATCCCTACATGTGCCAATGTGATTTTCGATTTCTAATTTCTTATGTTAATAATTTAACCGACGTTCTCACGGTGCAGAAAATATCGTGGCACATATCGGTGAAGAAATTCAAAGATATGTCTGAAGTCAACCTGCACTTTGCCAGCGTGGTTGATTATGGCCTAGTCTTCCAAACTTAGTTTAGGTTCCGAGCTTCTTGAATGGGGACATATAATGAGCTGGTGATGATGATGATGATGTTTATTAAGGCGTTGTTCTTATTAACTTAAAGTTTAAACACTAATTGATTTCAGACAAGTGATACTTTTTACATGATTATAAATTATTTGTCTAGTGTCAGATTAACAATGTTTTTAACTCTATGATTTAAATTATTTTTATGATTGTCTTAGGTCCCTATCTTTTTAGGTGTAACTTGCAAACAGATTTTAAAATGGGATGACAAGTAGCACATTGCTTTGTGCCACCGCTGAGTGAGTGACTATGCAATTTGGTGCCGCTCTTTGTTGTCATTCATTTCAGTTTCGGTTATGAATTTGATGGATCTGACTAGAAATCTTCATGGTTATTTTTATTTTACAATTTTTAAATAAAATATCTTATCGACTTTACTAAGTATAAAAATGAATTATTTACTCACATACTTTTTTGTTACAAATATTACGTGTTTAAAGCCTAATTGTAGTTTTCCCCCGTTCCAACCCTAATTGTGGAAGGGACTGGAAGGGAAGGGGAAATGTGCTCTCTCTGCGCGTCCCCTCTCTGTCCATTAAATGAAGGCATCAACAAATGTAGATTCCATACTCAAAAGTCACTTCTCTATTTAAAAAAACATGTTATACTGCAACGTTTATAACATCTACAGTTTGTCATGTAGACTAAACAACCCTCACATCGGTGTCCCGAAGGCATCAAACTTTTAATTAGACATACTTTGACGATATATTATTAAGTACACAGGTAACTGAGCGACAGAGAGTTTGTCAAATATTTATTTAAATGTTCCGCAAACCGTCATTTGTTTTAGGATGCAAACACATTGCACAGTACTTGTATTAAAATATTTTATCTCTGTTTTAATGTTATAGAACAGCCAGGTAGATGTTTTATACAAAGTGTTTTGATAACTTCATAATATGAGTTAAAATTGTCAATTTCTAATTATTTTACAGCTGTTGTCCGCGACTTTGTCCGCGCAATATTAAAATAAAGTGGAAAATAATATTTCCGTCGTAAGCTACCCTTTAGTAAAAGTACGGTCGAAATCGGCCCAGCCGTTTCGAAGATTACCCGGAAAAAACGCGGCTTGCGGACAGACAAACAAAAAAAAGTTAAATGCGATTTTCGTTATCAGCAACGCAAATATATTCCCGAAAACTGTCATTCTTCTTTTGATATTACAAACAGATACTCCAATTTTATTTACTTTAACTACTAACAAGAATAAACGCAAAAAAGTCACATTAATGTAAAGAAATCGCAAGTTCTAATTTTAATCATTTAATTACTCTGTGGTTTATGAGGAAAAATTCGCTACCATAAATTCTGAGGTCCGTTTTATCAACACTGTTACTTAGAACCGGGTTATTAAACTTTGTAACAGGCTGTAAAAGATTTGACAAGGTCCAAGATAAGGAAGTTATAATTGGGTTATCCTGCGATACTTGACAACTTTTACAGAACAAACCAAGTACACGGATACTTTACAAGGTTTATTTTTCATACGTTAACTTGGAATAAACCTTAGAAGTATATTGTAATAAGTTCATAAAAATAATTCGCAAATCAATAACAAGTCATCATTTTTCAGCTAAACCAAGAATTTCTAAATATGTTCACGTAGATTTTATTTTGTTTTTAAGAAGAATTTAATTTTTTCTTACCTTTAAAGAGTGTAGAACGATCGAAAATTGAAGTGATTCTTAAACCATTCGCTTCGTAAGCGGGCGCTTACAATCTTACAGACGACAAAAAAATGGAACTCAGAGTTAAGCATGGTCTTATCAATTACGCTGTTACATATTTCAATATCAATTCATAATTTTTAATTCCTTAAGACGAAATTTCCAGCTAAATTCGTTGTAATTTCGTCAGTAGAAATTATCTGTAAAACTTTTCTACCCTTAATCTTAACGCAACCAAAGCTTTCAAGCCGTACATTCTATAAGCATCTACTAGAAGTGCACTTAAATTTATTAAAAATGTATACATTAAAAGGAGGCGCGAGGTAACGAAACTTTAATGCATTACGTACATAATGGGGTTCCTTGAGACAACAGAAAAACTACATCCCTTATAATGTTAATGATTTTTTATTATTCAAAGTAATTCCAGCATCAATATCGCCTTAGCTCTTTAACTAGGAAAACCTGTATTTGAGGAGCCACGCCTTCCCAATCGAGTACATCTTATAGTCCATTATTTTACAAAAATGTAATGTTAGACCACATATATTCTACTTGTCCATAAAAATGCGTAAAAAAATCTGTATTTCAATATCTTATTAAAGACTTCACGTTTTAAACTATGCTTTAATAATATAAACTACCGGGTACACCGGTAGAGGTAGACCTAGAAAGAAATGTATGGATTACGTGAAAGGAGACATCATCAAAAAGGGAGTGATGACTGAGATGATGTATGACAGAATTATAATTTATGGAAGACAAAAACTTGTTGCGCCGACCTTACAAAATTAGGATAAGGAAGAAGATAATGTATAATATAATATAATAATATAATCTAAATAGTACTTTATTTAGTTAAGAGTAATGTTCAAAATATTACAGAACCCA